GGGGGGGGGGAGGAAAAAAAGAGAAGAATAAAAAGATCAAGAAAGAAGAATACTGTAAATGCAAACAGAACTGTAATTACAAATGAGATTCAAATTGGAGACATATGAAAGTATCACGTATTGTAACTTTTTTTTTTGCACCTCAAAAAATATTAGTCTCAGTACAACAACGATACTGAATTTTAGTCAGATGAATAAACGAATGAGAGATTATATATAATACTAGAAAACTGTCAAAATAACACCAACAAAGCATTACCTAAACGGTAATAACAAAAAAAAAAAAAAAAGAATAAAAATAGAATATTATACCGTTAATTTATCCTTTCTTCCTTCCCAAAAAAAACCTCGCAAATTCAAATTGAATCTTTATTGTTACCTGAACAGACAACAATCATTTTCAGAAGTCGGCTAAAAACTAAAGTTTTTTTATAGAGTTGCTGTTCAACCAAATCAAATGCACAGTGTATTTCCGTACTAGTATCGTATCCGTATCTGTGTATTCTGCTTGCTTTGTGTCTGTGTATTCAGCATGAAAAAAAAACAGTGCTTCTTCTATAAGCTGCAGTTGAACAGTCAAAGTTTGAGCGTCAGCTAGAACTCAGCTTGACTTAAAATCCGATGTATCTATGTGCATACAGTATGTGCAGGTGAACTCTGATATTTAGCATCCAAGTCGTTTACGCATTACTGATGGCAAAAATTTTTTACAAAAAGGAAGTAATTAGAACTGTTTTTAAATTACCAATTTGTTTGGTTGATTAACGAGTCGACTAAAATAAACTGTTCATACAATTCTTTTGCACATTTGTTCAGCAGTATCAACAAATTTGAATTCCAAATTAACATCCTTCTTTTCAAACGTATTCATTTTTTCTCTTTTATTTCTCATTGAGACAATTCTGAATTTTTTTTTCCTTATGGTCAACAAAATTATTTCTCCTTTTTGTTTCCTTTTGTTTCTTTTCTTTTTTTTCTGGTTGCCACTGAACAGTAGTGAAAGTTTTTGAGAGATGATTAGATATAATTAAGGTCAACAAGAAATTGAAAAAATT